GTTCTCAGAATTAAAAGGTTAAAAGATAAGGATCTATTAAGCGCGAGGCTCAATAATATTTGCAAAAGAGCTTCCAGTTAATTATCAATCGCACAAAAAGCAGGACGCGATATGTAACTACGCATTTACGCTGCCTGTATTGAATGTAAAGAGCAGAAATAATTATGTTTACGCAAAAACCCGCCACGGATATCCTTTTCCATCTAGCAAGCTATACCCGCTTCGTTTCGTTCTCGTTTCAGACCTTCCATCTCTTTATCCTGAAATCCAGTGAGATATACTACCGGTGTATTAATCAGGAACGCAGGGCAACCTGCTTTATGAGTCTTGAAGTATCGCAAGTAGCAGGGGGGAGGAGGAAGGAGCAGAGCGAAGACATCAATGTCAATAATAATTCATTGATTACTTAATTCATAGTTGCCATGACGACCGTCTCTCGCTTTTCCCTCGCCTCCAAGCTACTCTGTTTTTCTCGCTTCGACGAAGGAGAGTACATACCCCTTAAACTCATTTCACACGGAACGCGTCGATTATTTCCACGAGCAGTCCCGAATGAGAAACGACGCATCCTTCAATTTACACCATCGTAATTCATAGTTTCGGCGTAGTAAGCGAGTCGCTTAAAAACAAGAAAATGCGATCCTACACGTTCGACGTATCTCCGGAAGCGTCAGGCATTCTGTTGTGAAGGTCGCATTAGCCTTGCTTACGGGTTCGCAAGCAGGCAAGGAGAAACACGAAATGAATATTCAGAAGTTATTAGTCTGTAGTGAAATGTGACGGGGCTCACCCTTCTCGAAAACCACCCTGGCCTCCGCCAGCGTCGCCCACTCGGTATAGATTTTGCGATACATCCTGGCGGAAATGCGAGCGAGCGAGCGAGACACCCCGATCTGCTACTATATACTATGTAGAAGAAGGGGTTGAAACGGCAGGGATGAAATCGCGAAAGATGAGGAGGTTGCCGGATAGACGGGACTGGCGGGGCGTGAGGGTGATGGGCGAAAGGGGCTTTATGCATAAGCTAAGAAGCGCCATTGACGGGAACCGAGAAGAGTGTACATGTATATCTCCACTCTGCGTGTATATATAGCGGCGCACTTGATAAACAAGACTTTGGTAACACCCGTGTGACGTAACCCCGGCACGTCGCCGGAACTTGCCAAGTATAATCACACATCAGCGGTAAAGGTGTGTTCTGATTAAAGTCATACGAAAGTATTTCGTCGAATGATACGACGTGATGGTACATCCAATGAAACTTGGAATAATTTTACCATTCATTGCGCACGAGATAAGGATTTTGTAAGAGATTCACATTTTGCTCGCCATGCATATTCGTTCTTGATATACTTCCGCCAAATATGGAGAGTCCGTATAGTCAGAGTATATGAAAAATAAATTTCTGAAAGTATGAGAAATAAGATTTGTAACATTCATATCGTGAATATAACGAAATAATTAATAAAATTTAATGTTGATTCTATCTCCTCCGCGAGTTAACTTGCGATCGACGGAGAAACAAATGTCGGAGTAACAAACACCGGTTTACGTTAGTCGCTCCATCTCCTCGTGAAGTATCGCACGCCCACAGCCCGCAATGGAAATACGATCCACGAAACGTATACATAATACCAATGTGTCTCGACGGTATTTGTCGAGGAAGAGACGCGCGGACCGGATAGAGATCTCCGACAATCGTGTAAACGCCTTTACGAACGGCACCATCTTGGAAGAGCGTGTCGTGGCGCAGACGATATTCAAATGGCATCAATTTCTGCGAAATTGCTCCCTATATCTACCCGCAACCTGGATGCAGGCGCTCCCTTCCCGCGAGGAGACCGTATTGGCAGATAGCTACAGCATCGTTTTACAACCCCTTATCTGGATAAGTTACGGGCATTCTATTCGACGATTCTCTCTCGTCCGAAGTTACGTCGTCGAGGGTGTCATCGATTTCCATGGAAATCCCTGGTGCGTGTAACTCCTGTGCCAGATTGCTGCGCTGTCTTATCGCATTGGAACGGTCTAACAAAAAAATAGTCGATGCTATTTTTCATCGATTACCGCGATTACTTGATAAATATTATTAATATACGTGAAATATAGTTCTTCTCTTTTCTCGTTATATATATTATTTTGTAATAAATAACTCCGTCGATGAAAAGCAGCTGTAAAGCAAAATTTCACGCAACATATATAATATCCGATGAGTCGAAGAGTCAGTCAGTCAAGCTGCGGTAGCAATCTCGGAGGAGCCTCTCCGTTCCTTCTTTCACCTTGCCTTGTAGAAGAAACACCCGCGGGGCTCGGCAACTTTTTTTCATCAGCATTTTACGGTTATACCGGCGCATTAATAATGCACATGCTTAATATAAAGAGAAGCCCGCGAGTCTCCGTCTAATAAACTGGAAGAATGCTTTATAACCGTCCGCGGTTTTTGGGTCGTCGAGGGGCGACCGACGGAGGTGGCGAAGGGTGCGCTGGAAGGCAAACTGAAGGGGGTGGCTTTCTTCTTTATACCCGCCAAACGGCCAATCTCTCCTCCGCGCGTCGAAGGAAAGTGGCCTAACTTTCCGGCGCTAAGAAGAGACAACGAACTCGTCGCACGATGTATCTCGTGGAAACGCGAGTCGTTAAAGCAGCTTCGTTCTTCCTCTCGTCAATTCTCGTGTATATATAACATTCCTTCCATTTCATCGTGAAAAATTTAATTTGTCGAAAATTTGTCAACTTCAGTCGACGGGAGAGACGAACAATGTGTCTTTTATCAATTTTGTAATTTAAATTTTCGTCAATTATATCAAACGCTTATTTAACATGCTTTTTGTCAGAAATTTCTGTCAAATAAAGAGAGACTAAATATATTTACTTGTGTTATCATTTATAAGAAGAAACTAGTCGAGTCATATCGGTGACGCGGCTGACGTAAATCACCTTTAACATAAAAATTTTCATATCCATCTTATACTTGAATGCCAAATGAATTTTTCCTTCTCCCCGGGTTGATTTCCGAGTTGCGAGCGAGAGGAGGCGCTCCAGATAGCGAAGGTGAGACTTTTTGAAAAATATGAGTTTAATAAAGAAGGTGGTATGATGTATGGCCTCGCGTCGAGGAAGGGGACCTACCAGGATCAACTAGCTTCGATACACAGATATTGTATACGTAATATAACTAGATGAAGGGGATGGGCGTGATGTACTGGGTGTCAAAATGTCTCGTGAGAGACGTTCGACGGCTTTCACGTTGCTAACAAAATTGTGGAAAAACCTTCCGTTAAACATAATTGAAGAAGAGTGAAAAATATTCGTTGATTTATCGCTCCTTTCTTATCACGATCTGTCAAAAATCAGAATAAGAGAATAAATCTTGCATTTTTGATCGATATTGTTCTTTAAATAGTGTTTTTTCCTAACGAAACTCTTTATTTTTTATAAATTTAGAATTTTCTATGGAACATTATTTTTCTATATTATTAAATATTGACATTTGTTAAAGTATACTACTCTTCAACATTTCAAAAATAATATATTAGTTGAATGATCTTCAAAACACAGATTCAAATTATCGCTATTACTACTATTGTACGTTATTCGAAAAAAAATGCCTCATTTTGCGTTCTTCTCAATGCATAATACTGTGCAAGATATTGAATATTTCATCGCAAAGATCTGTATTTTTCTCCGGATGATTGTCATTCGAAGAGTTCCAAGAGCGACAGGCGCGTCCAGGCAGGCAGCACAGGGAGCAGCAAAATCAATTATTCATCCGGGAATTGGCCGGGAAAAAGTCCTAATTATCCGGAGCAAATACAACCTTAATACGCAGAAGTGTACCACCACCTCCTCTTTCACCCCGGTTGCTCTTTCTTTTCTCTCTCTCTCTTTCTCTCACTCTCTAGATATATCTACAAACTCCTGCCGCTACCCCGCAGTCACTCTTCGGCACAACCTTCTCCTTCTTACCGTGAATAACCATTTGTATTTCCAATTAGCTTTGCTAATAAGAAGACGGAGGCATTGCCGTAGTTTAAAAAAAATGTATAACCTCATCCAGCCACTGGGGAAATAAAGAAAAGCGCCGCTCGGGTATGACAATACCGACGGGTCGAGCGGGGTTATATCGGACGAACTACAATTAAAAATCCTCGTTTCACCCTCGCGCTTTAGCCCTGGATCCTCCTTATGTCGTATTAACGACTGGGGTTGTACAAGAATGGCTATAGATACATCGTATCAAACAGTGGAACATTTTTTTGCCAATTTTATGCTTGACCCCTTCGCATTTCCTTTTTTATCTTCGCTTTTTTATTTCATTTCTGTGCCTTCTTTTTTAATATCATGTCGATATAGTCAGTTCTTCAGGCGTGGCTATTCTCTTTTTTCGCAAAGTAAATGAAATACATTATAACAATATATCTAAATCTAAAAGAAGAAAATATTCGTTCTGTTTTTTTTTCACCTATGTATAATCAGCGTATACATATGTATCACATAGTTGAAAGAATTAGTAGTGAATAGAAAATAATTGATATTTGATACTCGATGCCTACTATATTTCTTAGATGTCAATTGTATTGAATAATTAATATTACATGTTTCACTATAACTTAGTATTTTGTGTAAAATAATTATTCAACTATAATTATATATATAAAATTATAGTAAACAGTCATTGAATAAATTTGCAAATATGCTTTTTCATTACAATGTGCTTTATATATTAAATCTTTATACGCATTATTATTATTATTATTAATGCAATTTTTAATTGTGAGGAAACGACGAAATTTTTGTATCAGTAAATATAGGTACATATTTGTACATAAATATACAACTCGTGTTCCTACGAAATAAAGCACAACACTCTGAAGAAAGTAGCCTCCGTAATAACCTATTTCCATGAATATGAAGCTATATGTATGTTTGCAAACTCATTCCTGCGACTCCGCTAAGGTTTTTGTTGTCGTGCCGATCGTCAAAGTCGCACCGAGGTCAGTTGAGCGACGGCAAATTCGAAGTTAAATGCGATAAGTCTTGTCAGTCGCGATCAATATTTCGTGTAGTATGTATCACGCCGCAAAGATTATACGAATCAGTGAAAGAGTACCAAAAGTGTTACGCGTTTGCATTTTCAATTAAAATAACAAGAAGATTAAAATAGCTCCGATTAGTGATCATCTGTGATTATTATTAATATAAAAGTACGTATAAATTAATGTTATTTATAAATTATTGCATATATTTCTGAATTTAGAATAATCTCAAATTTGTATCTATTTATTAAGTTTATTTAAATCCATTTCGTATTTATTGTTATTATATTGGTTATTTAATTTACAAGAATGTCAGTTTTATTTAAAGTTATTATATTAATTGTATGTTTTATTAACAAATATTACAGCAAAAATATGAGAATTAAAGCAGTTCCAAGACACAGAACACTCGAAAGTAATACTAAGGTTACATCTGCAACAGAAAACCTTTTAGATGAAGAAAGTACGGATGCTGAAAAAGATTATGATTCATCGGATGCGATAGAAGATTCATATAAGGTAAATAAGCAATATAATAATATTTATTATTTAGCGTTTCAATTTTCATGAGATTGTGCTATATTTTGCATAATTATAAGTCTATGCACAATAAAATGTATAATTAATATATAAATAATCAAATAAGAATTAACTATAAAGTATTTCTTTCAACATTTATTAGAAAAATCTATTTCTGCAATTAAATTATTTAAAAATTTTTGTATACACATTCTGTATGTACATAATTATAAGAATACAAATAATATTTTTTTATGTCGCCTGTTTATTAAATTTTTGAAATATTATATTTGACAGGCGTACGCACCATCTTCAAATATTCTGATTCCAATTATGGCGTTTACTAGTTTGAGCAATGAAGTGACTTTGTCCTCATCCACCACTATATCGCTCACTAACGACAACAATAACGTGGAGGTCCTGGATCTGTCAACAAAAGATTCCTCCAATCGCGCTGATATTACGTCGGATACCTCCACCGAGCCAGAAGATAAACTGAAAGATTCTTTTCTCTACAAAATTATGACCGATCCAGACTTTTTGAAAAATATACAGAATAAAAACAGCAAGAAGTTTGTCTGTCTTTTCTGCAAAGAAGAGTTCGCGACGTGCGAGGAATTGACAAATCATACGGATGTAAAAAAGAACGATAACAACCAGATCACCTGCTGCGCCTGTAAAAAAACTTTCGCCGAGAAGAGATACCTCAAGTATCATCAGAGATGTCATTCTGAGAGGACCAAGTTCACCTGTGACATTTGTACTAAGAAGTATACGAGGATGGACAACTTGACGAGGCATAACGTGCTGCACGTGAATCCCAACAAGTTTGCCTGTACGATGTGCAGCAAGACATTCACGCGTAAGGATCTGCTCAACAAGCATCGGAAGAGTCACGAGAAGTATAATCTTTACTGCGTGAAATGCGGCAAGTATTTCAAAAGCATTCTCACGCTGGCAAATCACCAATGGACGCATCGCGAAATATCGAACGCTTTGGCAAGTACAGTTGTTTGTAAGACTGAGAGTTCAATCCCCGCTGGGAATATAATTTGCAAAATTGAGAATTCAGTTTCCGTTGAGGAGGAAGTTCATAAAACTCAGGATTTAACTTCGGGTGAAAGTTTAGTTTGCAAAACTAATGATGTAATTCGTAAAACTTAGAGAATTTACTTTTGATATTTGTTAGATGAAACATATATGCATAGATGTGTATCTATTATCTATTAACGCGCGTTACGAATATTATTAAGTAAAATACGATGTATTTTACAAAAAGACATAGTCTTGTGTTAAATTCTAATTTATAATACAAATTTTCGTATAATTTTTGTGAATATATATATATATATATATATTGTAATATATAATTCTTTAGTATATAATTTATAAATTATATACATAATATATATAATATATATCATATACATATATACGTATATATATAATTTATTAATTACGGATTATATATGTATTTGCAATTTTCTTGATCTATTGCAAATTATTATACATTAAATAAATGCACTGTATGCTTTCGTAATTAAAGTATACGATTAATGTGCATTATAAACGATATATATATATGTGTACTGATTTCATTTGTTATTTATGTTACATTACTATTATTACTGTTCTATTTAATAATGTGAACTATTATATTATTATAATTTAGTTAATTATGTTATACACGACATATACATATAACATTATTATGATCATCAACATTGAACAACCTTGTAAACACATTATGTCATTTTTCTTTATATTATATAAAATTATGACATAAAAATAACTCAGATTTTTTCCAAATATATAAAACTGTTTCAACTTACATTATAAAACAAACATACGCTTTTCGCATTTTTTTCATATATTGTACATTTCTCCGAAATCATTTATATTATGCATTTTTTCATGTGCTCTAAGTGCTAAGTTTTGAATATTTGTCAAATACACGTTTTCTACGCGTAATCGCTTATAGTCGATATAATGAAATAGCAGAATCATCATCCTCAGAAACCACTTCTCGGTCCTTTTAGTTTCATTCGTACATCATATCAAGTCATATACATTTTTTCATAGTTCTCTTGATCGTTCACTCTCTTTCTCACTCTCTTGTAATTTAATGCAATTAAGTCGAGCGTTAAAATATCGTTCTTAATTTGCCAACGGCAAGCTTTGTTTTAAACGCGATTTTAACGTGAGTGACTCATGTTGGAACCTCTCGCTTTTTCTTTTTGCCTTTCTTTCTCTCTTATTTTCTGTTTTCTTCTTTCTCTACTAGACGTAGCGCACAATTCAGTTTCCTCATAAGAAATACATGTACCATCATCGTCATGTTTACCATGTACAATCCACGGCTTTAGCTTTGACGCTAAATATTTCGCTTTACCGATTCCGATCTACTTTTTCACTCCTCTAGTGGCCACACTCGCTCCATATTCTCTTTGTTCATGATATCCTGAAGAACTTTGGAAAGGTTTTTCCGCCGTGGCATCGAAAGAAAGCTCGACAGAGCACTCAAAGATAGAGCAATAGGAGAGTCTGCCAATTTCCAGCGTGCACCTCTTTCTCTCTCTTTTCTTTCTGTCATCTCGGAATTCTCCTGTATCCCTTTGATCCACTTACTCGTTCAACGCGTATCGCGTATGCGGACTTGACCAAAAATGTAACAAAGTTTCCAGGAATGTCCTCGTAGAGAGGCCAGTACAGATTCTGCGGTCTCTTTGGCGAGCGTCGAACTCGGTTCTTACTAGACGAACGATGTCCTCTCTTCACCGTTCTCTCTGTCAGTAATCTTTTCTATACTGTGTGATATATTTTAATTATTATTTCAATTATTATCCAAATACTTGTAGAAATAATTTAAAAATATACAGAATATGTCAAAAATAATTATTGTGAATAATATGGCTGAATTTACATTTTGGACATAGCTAGCATATTTATATATTTCTGTGTCTCTCATTTTTATTAATTTTTTTTCAATTAATACAGAATATTTTGTTACAAATATGCATATTTCATTTGATTTATATACATATATCTTTTTTTAATCGCAGATATAGGATTTTCTTAATAGAGAATTAATTCTTCGCACAAATTTTTATGATAGACATTTTAAGATTGTTTATCTCCTTACGTTGTTGTTTAATCTCTCCTTGTGCCGAAATTTAAGGCATTATACCGTAGAAGAATCTCTTTGATGTCGCGCTTTACATACAATATTTACATGCTATCGAGGGAAGACTTTAAACTTCTTAAAGATATTTTGAAGGCCCGGGAGTACTTTCAGCGAGCTTGCTGCATTAAGAATTCAGGGGAGGGGCACGGTGGCATTTATTCATTCAGGCATTAATGAAAAGTCTATATATGACGGTGCTTTGTGTACAATAGTAGACGCAAAGAACGAGATGTATATATGATTTTTGATAAGTATTGCATATGAAAACTTATCGATAACTTCTAAATTAAGTACAAGAAAAAAAATAGAATAAATAGAAGGAAAGTTAATTAATATTTTTTAAAGATTTACTAAATTTTTTCACATCTTTTTCTTTCTTTCTTCTTGAGAGAGATGTTACATTCTAAGATAAAATTTTGTTACATATATTTTAATAACATTAAGTTTTCAAAATATAATAATCTATAACTATTCTAGTCTAATTATGTTAACTCTTCTCATACTTATACGCCTAACCGAAAAACAAGAGGAGGAAAAGGAAAATGGAGAAAAGTGAGCAGCTAGGGCAGAGACTTCTCCATAATTTTCGAAACTACTAAGCATTCCGTGTGTTTGTTTGAACGCGCACAATGCCATTAGAAGTGACTTTAGCCCCTCTATCGTCCTCGTCGCCGTCTATGTTGTCGACCCTGCTCGCTATCCTTCCCCCGCGGAGCAGCACTTCAACCCTCCCGTAGGAAAATCCGCTCGCGGCGAAACGCAGGGCATTCTATATACGCAGCGCCGAGTTTTTCCACAGTTTTCATCTGGCACTTTGGAGCTTGTTTTCCCAGACCGCATGCGTATGCGCATATATATATATATATATATGTTGTACACGCGTACCGCTGTTTCTTCTCTCCTCCTCAGTTGGGGTCATAACGTTTGTTTTCGTGCTTACTTTGCACTGCCCTGAACAAAAACCTTTCAAAAGATGGGGATCAAGTTGGTATAAAACAAAGGCAAAGAAAACGGGGAATCCTTATGATCAATTATGACGACCGATTAATTCCGATTAAGTATGCTTGAGATATAAGAGTGCTTTCAAATTTTAACAAATCTGTATGTAATAAACATTTCTGTGTCTATATAAATAACCAAACTATTATAATAATTAAAATTATAATATTAATTGAGAGAGAGAGAGAGAAAATTTTAATGTTAGTCTTTAATATTAATTTAATTAAAAGTAGCGAGTATATATGTACATTATTTGAGAGAGTCTTTCTATTTTACCCTCGAATATCTTTGTTGTTTATTTTACCGTTGCGCGTCTACATATTATAATATGCGTTTATGTACGCGCGAACAAGAATTCGTTACGAAGACGTATGTCCTTTGAGTTTTACTCGCTTATATTAACTATATATACATCAATGCTATGTTCTAAGCTTTCTCATTCTCGCTGTTACCTTTTATGTAACGTGCACTCGTTTGCACTTCGATGAGACTTTCTCGAGCAGCCAAACAATGCATGACTGTGCTTCGTAAATAATTAATAAACTTTGAGATATTAGAGACTTGAAAATTTCTTCCAAGTGACTTGAAAAATACATCGGTATACACGTTTCGTTTCCATATTAATTCGCCCACGCATGATAATCAAAAATAGTAAACTTGTCTGTGAAATTAATTTCTTCTAGCAAACTTAAATTTCGCTGTTTTATATGAAATGTCTTTTAATTTTTTTTGATATAATTTACTTAATCAGAACATATATAACATACATTTATCACGATAAAATTTCTTCTACTCAATTTTTTTACGAAGGAGCTTATCATCTTAATATTTTAATACGTGGATATAAAATTTTTATAATGCACTCCAACGCGTATTTATCTCAGGCAGATAAATCGATCGCGACTGACTTAATCGCAAGAGGAAGAGAGTACGAAATCTCTTACGGAAAGAGAAAAGAGAAAGGAGAAATCGCTTTGCTTAGACAAACGCGGCCAATAATCGCTGATAATTTATTAAGGTAAAAAATGCTGGCGATCCGCCCCTTACCGAGTTTTTGCGTTATTTAAGAAAATAAATATTTGATATCTCAAACAAAGACTGGGCTATCCCTCTCCTCTCCGAAGAGCCAACGGAGGAGCAGAAAGAAGATAAGGGTGAGGCCGCGAAAAGGAAGGACCAAGGATCGCAGCTAAAAAGTGTCGAGGGAGAGGGTCGGTAAGTCTCGCTTAAAGGCGCCGGCGGGGGTGGCGACTCATTGGCCGTGAAATATGGGGTAAAAGGTTCGATAATTGATTACACAGATTTTTTATGCCGCAAGAAGCCTTAATTCGCGCCGCCACCCCTCGGAATAATTCCGCGTCGGAAAACCTGAGCGACGAGCTTGGAATATCGAGTCCCTTCCACACCGCTCTTACAAGGGAAGACAATCTCGTGTCGGCTCTTACAACCGGTTCGGAGATTAATCGAAATCGCGATTACGCTCTTCACGAACAATGAGAATAAACGGCGGTTATCGGTGAAAAGACGTCGATTTTCCATCCTTTCGGGAAAATCATTTCGGATTTAGCTAGATGTAAATGTTATTACACATTATTACATAAATAAAGAAACTCTATTGTTTTTTTCTTTTTCCAATCTTCTTACTCTTGATATATTTATAAAAAAGTAGCGCTCTCGTGCAACATATTTATATGCAGATATATTTCAAGGGTTATATACGAACTATGAGACATAGCGTGTAATATAGCAGAAACTCTTTGTGCACGAGAAAAATCGACTAAGTCAACATCAAAGAACCGATTCGAATAATTCCTCAGCGACCATCAATGAACGACGATATTACAGACCGGTCGATCTGGCACTGATACGTGAGAGCCAATATAGGAACAATCCCTTCTATTACATGAAGGGTGCGCGGCATATTTTCTGTGCGAAGAAACACGGGTTCTAATATTAATTTTTATCGAGATCCAAAGCCGAGGGGGCACAATAGAGAAGGGCTCTCGCGGTGCGGCGCTCCAGAAACGCGTATATATTGATTAAAATGTGGACCGCCGGCCGAGGAACGCTTTGTCTCACCGTGAAAAATCATTGCCACGCTAATTCGAAAATATCGAAGCTGGCGAGAAATGCTGCGA